AGATTTTTGCAAGAGCCTTGGGTGGGGTGGGAATCCTGTCTTTTTAATGAAGGGATTTTAGGTTTTCTAGGCTTTGCTTGTGTGGACTAGGAGCTGTCCAATGTGACAGATCAGTAAAACCTATGTTTCACTGCTGTGATACTAGTATTTATAGCTCTAGTCATGTAAGCATATTTTAGTTTAGGTAACTACCTCTCAGGAGACTGACAACTTTCCAGGTCTACCAAAATACAAATTTTGTATTGCAATACTGCAGTAAACATTGTGGCAGAGTAAGTAATAGGTAAAAACATTAACTTGTCCATCTGTAGTTCTTTTTAATTTATAAGACAATCTGCTGGGTGAATAAAATAGCTATTCTACTATTCAAATTTCAGTGGATTCTTTTTTGAATCATAAGGTTTCAAAAGGCCATTTAGTTGCAAAGGGCTCAGTGCAGGAATCCCAATTAAAACATCTTAAACAGATGGCTATCTAGCCTTCAATTAAACAGATCCAACAAAGGGCAGCCTACCACTTCTCTGGAGAATTTCAATACCACTGATTGCTAATACTCTGGGCAGTTATGAATTTAACCACTCTATGTTAATGATGTGCAATCTCTGCTTCATAAAAATAATGAAGTACATTATATGAAGATTTAAAGCCACATTAAGAAAAGCTTTTCAAGATCAGACAATACAGAACAAATAGTTGCTGAGTGGTCTCTAAGATCCTATTATAATCTTTTAAAAATCTCTAAATCCACCCAAGCAGTAGCTCAGGGTTTTATATATCAAAAGGGAACTAAAGGTATTCCCACCACCACAATGACATATACCTCTGTAACTGTGATAGAGAAAATTTGATTATTCCCTTACAAAGTTATATAATAATCCAAGATTTTTTTCCTCACCTTCTAAGAAAAATCATAAACATTAAGACTTATTTCAGAGTTTGTTCATCACTGATTTTAAGAAAATTGTACCAATTCAGTACATCACTGATCAAATATACTCCAAAATAGGTCATTTCAGCACATACAATATAAGATTGTGTTTCTATTTTCATTTGCCTGCAGACATATTGCTTAAGCTGTCTAATAATGGAAATATTTCATATAATCAAAATGGGTTGAATATATATATATATATATGTGTGTGTGTGTGTGTGTGTGTGTGTGTGTTCTTTTTTAAATCTCTTGTTCTATCAACAAGTTTGACCACCTTGTACTGACAAGTCCATAGTATGGTATAATGAAAAATCAGGAAGTTCCAGTAGCATTTGCCCCTTCTGACAATTGTGTTAGCGATGTGCCAAATTTCCTGGTAAAAAGTTTTCTCATTTAATTCTTATCTAGAGGAGTTTTCAAAAAAACAGTTACATTCCTTTCCGCTCCCTTAAAAAATCCAGTGACTTCTGATAACCCCCTTAAAGAAAAGATAACCCTATATATTGATATTCTATTGGTATCTACAAGCAAGACTGAGTTTGCAAGAAGAGCAAGGATAAACATTTACAGAGTAGCATATACCATGTACATTTTTTCTATTTGCTTACCCACTCCTTAATTTAGGGAGCATTACAAAACAGCATACACAATCAAAACAGTAAACAGCTATGATTTAAGATATTTTTCTACACTGCTTTCCAGTCAACTGTAAACTTGAAATCACTTTACAAGCTTTCAAACATGAGATGGCATATATTCTGAACAAGGGAAAACAATATTAGAAACAGAAAATGAAGCCAATAGATTTAAAATCCAAATGAAACAAAAACATTTTAAGAACCTGCTAAAATTAGAGAAGGAAAAGGCACTTAGAAAAAAAAAAATTCACAGGTCCTACCAAAAAGCACCTGTATTCTCACTGACCTGATCTTTCTTGCTGGAGGATATAGAGACTGGGCTTACACAATTCCTGATAGGGTTAGTTTAGCTGGTTTCATTGTGATGCATGAACCAAGCCACTGTGTAAAAGAGAGTTACTGAAAGCTTTTGCTTGGGGTTTCTTTGTAGATTCTGTTGCATACCAACCGCAGGTTTACATGGGGCTGTTTCTCACTATCTCATCCTGGTATTTTCTCTGTAAATGAGACTTGTGTTTATGTGGCTGTGATAATCAGCACCTCAGAATACAGCTAGTAAAGTTGAAAATTCAACAAAATATTTTTCAGCTTGTTAAAAAGAGTTGACAAGAACTCTTATGGCCTATTTTGGACATCCAAATGTAGTAGTCTCTTCACAGCTATGAACGGCATAGTATTGAAGCTGGAAGGCAATGAAGAATAACTTTTTGCAAGCCACCACTAATACGGTTATAAAGCAACCTCTTATCTGCGTTTGATAATATTTAGCCGAACTAGAAACTATACTTTAGAAACTAGTGAAATTATATTGATAGATATGGAAATTCATTGTTTAAACTGTTAAATTAATGTACATTTTAAGTGTATAATATTAGCTAAAATATACTTCTTTAAAGTATTAATTAAAACTCAGCTTTATCACTAGATATTTTAACCAGCCATGCAGAGAATTAAAAGTGGATTGTTCAGCATAAAAATCAGGTTTTTTTTTTTAATCCTTAATGGCTTGATCTCCCTTGAAAGACCAATTTCTGTCATTGTCATTTTTTCTAAGACTGGATTTAAAACCAAATGAACAGACTCTCAAATGCAGCATTCCATTAATATCCTAAACATATAATAAGCTATTCTCAATAACTATATCCCAACTATGGAACACATTTCAAATAAAGAGCTACCAAAATGTCTATTTCACTTTTGAAGAACTTGAATAATTTTAGAGTGTGTGTATTTGACAGGGTGCAGTAGACATGAAGTCCAATGCCAATTTCTATAACAATGTATGCACATATTAAGTTTGTCAGTTTTTGGTTTTTTTTCAATTTCAATTTCTCAGCTTTGGGGTCAATAGCAGGAGTACTGTATATAAATAACCTACGTTTATACTACATACAAGTCCTTTGCTTTTCTTTTTCAATATTTCTAACACCCAGAGAGTATGGAGGGGAGAGACTTATCTTCAATCTTGGAAACAGAAAAGCAACTTCAGCACTGAAAGTCTGTTCTAAAAGTACCTAATTCCTTTGGATAAAGAATGTACTTGTATGAAAGGAGATTACTTTGCTGCCACTGAAGGGAATATCACAAATACCAATGTGGTGAACACATACTTATTGACAGAACAAGGCTTCTGTTCTCAGAATTCTCAACAATATATACTACAAAGAAATATTAGGGACATTTTTTATTTCATATTTTTCTGTTAGTACAGTAAAAATAACATGTATGGGTTAGCCAAGATGGTTGAAGAATTTCATTCTTCAAATAGCTATTTCAGAAGAAGGAATAGAAAAGACTTAATGACCAGGAATAGCGAACTTTCAATCTAAACATACAGAGCACAGCTATTTTAGATTGTGCAGATATATAATCAGTAGATTTTACGTCAAGATAATACCTGAACAAATATTATTAAACATGGCAGAAAAAGACATCATAAAAATAAAAGCAACAAATAACTGACAAAGTGACATAATTTGAAGGAAATAAATAATCTAGGAATAATTTTCCTACAGTTAAACCTAGATGGTTTTGAGGGCTTGTAAAAAATGGAATATCAAAGATATGCAGGTTTCTCCAGCCTTAGAAGGGATTCAGACCAAGCTATTTTAAACAAGGCCTGGAGATACAGCTAATGCTCAGGGAAGTGGTAGCCAGTGCAACTATTTAAAAACAAATTCAGTTATCTCTCTCTCTCCTAATCTACCAAGGGACATTTTGAACTATATTCTCAAATAGCTTATGCAAATCAAATTATTTTAGGATAGGAATAAGATTGTTCATTTCTAAGAAAAGGTGGGATTGGGATGATTTAAAATAAATAGATGGCATTCATACTGATAACCAGTGAATCTTTATCATGGAGAACCCAGATCAAAAGCAACTCATGAGCATGCTTTCAGGGGAACCAAATGCCTCAAACATAAAAGAGGACACTTCCCATAGGCATTATGTCTTATTATCTATATTGTCAGTTTTAATGTACTGCCCCTCATTCCTTTCATTGATACCTCTACATACTATTAAGAGCCCACAGATCTTCCATAAACTGATTCCCCACAGAAGCTTAACTCTGAGTTTAGCAAAAGCAGGCTTCGGAAACCATTGCTTTATAATTCCTAAATACCAAGTATGTATTTCTTAGACTTCATTGGGTTCTAAATTACCTTGAGAAAAACTAAGCTGAATCAGTAAAATACAATGCTCCTTTTTTGCCACTCATCCTTTTCCCAACAGACATACAAAGTAAATAAAGTATCAAACGTGAGTGAGACATCAAAAGGAGGAAAGAGGTATATTTTGTGTCAACTACTAGCCAGCCTTTGTTCTTAAACCATCCTGGAAGCACAATTGAAATAATAAAAGAAACCTGTCTCAGATGGTTATCTGAAGCTGCTCTACAGCCACTTAGATGACTTCCACAACAATTATGTAGGCAAGGCTCATATCCAAGGATCTGCATTTAACTCTAAATCTGGGTATATACTTATTTAATATTATCATAAATACTTGAGCAAAGCATCTTTTGAAATAGCACACATTATGGGAAAAACAAAATAAAACTGATAAGTAAATGTGAAATAAGATATAGCATCACACAAAAACTTGACACTTAGAGAGCTAATTCACTATCAGTTTTATTTTAACCTGAGTAAAACAAAAGAGAAACTGAATGTACAAAATTCAAAGTTGTTAATGACTACCATAAATGTTACTTCCTTTTGCATGCTGCAGAATGGGTTAATTTAAACAGCATTTAATGTGACCTCAAATGGCAAGAAAACTGATTAATAAAGTTTTGCGAAGTCTTCCAGATGCCTATTGTCATGTGGATGATCTCAATAGAAGGCTATTCATGATCTTTATGGCTTTTTAAACGCACACTGGTTCATTCAAGCAAGGCTTTTATCATGCACAGCATGTTGAAACAGGAATTTAGAAGAGAAAGAGATAGCTATTGTTCTACACTGTGCTTTGCACTTACAAAACTCTATTGTCTCCTTTGAAATTAACAGAATTTAAGGCTATCTAATAATAAAATCAAGTCCTTCAATTCTTGAAAATGCTAATTCTGGCCCTTCAGTTTTTAAGCTATTTTATTCCCAATCAGACATTTACTACCATACTCTAAGTGAAGTATGCAAAAATAAATGTTGACATTCACCATTTGTTCTACTAGCTAAGAAAACACAAACTTGTGCTTGGTTCACTCATAACACTCTATTATAAAATGTGTTTTCACTGTTTTTGTGACATAAACAAATCCATCCACTTTGGGTTATTAATAATGGTTTCTTTCTGTTCAGGTAAACAAATCCTATCAGAGGGTAGCATTATGGAGAGACAATGTAAGAGACAATGTATGTGAGGTGGAAAACCAGAACTTAAATTGACTCCTTTAGATCAAATAAAAGAGTATAATCCAAATATTAAGAATTGAAGAGATCAAACATACACTTTGGGTGTTTTCAAAGGATGGCTAGAGGCCAAGTTTCCTTCATTTATGGTAGTTACGTAGAAGAAAGATCCTTAGGTGAAATCCCCTTCTTTAAAGCTGCAATTCTCCCTCCTCTCTCTCTTTCTTTTTTTACTTGACCACAGTATGCAATGATCCCCTTCAGGGTAAATGCAAGATCCTTGCTGCCTTAGACAAGTCAAGCTTTACAAGGTTTGGGATGTGCTATTTTCATAAACAAAAGCTGCTAACTATATACATAAGTTTTGTGGTTCTTAAATCTGCTTTTAATATGATTTGGTGATGGTAAATATCTATCACCTTGTATATATGACAAGAAAATGGGGTGGATCTAGTTTCCAGCATTACTTTCAGAGTGGTCTGATTCATTTTTGAGTCAATTCAGTAGGGTATCTGTAGTGAATCAAGCAAAGAGTTAAAGGAAATGCAGTCATATTTTCTCATCCTTCTATCAAAATATAATAATCATCTATTCACCATAGTTGTTTCTCTTGAAATCTACATATCTTTAAAATGTTTTTTTTTTAAGCAAAAGATATACTTACAAACTGAAAACAGCTCCTAACACTGGGTTCAATGTTACTGCCACCAAAAGACGCAACTTCCCCCAGCTGCCTTGGAATCTGGATAGAGTCATGCAGGAGGAGACCTAGACGACGCTGGTCACAGAATCCAGTGGGACTTGCTACTTGCTTGAACAGATCTGAAAACAGGGAAATGAAAAAGATCATGCAATCAAACTGGAGTAAATTACACTTGATGTTACTGAATTATAGCAATAATCTAGACAAGCACAAGACCTGGGACTTTATGTTATATTCTGGCTGTTTTTGTTCATCTTGGCATAAGAATACTCAGTAAGCTTTGTCAACTGGTAAATACAATGTTTCCAGGAAAAAGAAATGTGCCCTATTACAAAGATGTAGCAGCCACAGGGGCTGTTAGAAACTGTATCATAAGTAAAATTCAACTGGCTATGAATATGAATATGAAATGTATTTTGAAGTGAAGATATATTACAGTTGTAATAGAAGGAAAATCAGGTTGTAAAGTACTGAAATATTTGAGACTAACGCAGTTACCTAAACATGACCTGAATAATCTCTCTTATTTTTCAAAGTGTTAGAAACCTTTCAGTGCAATGAAAAAATAATGTGGTTTTACTTTTACAGCTTCTTCAATATTTCATTCTGCAGTAGGAAAGTTCTCATGTTGTACACAAGCTGCTCCTAGAACAGCTTTAGACCTAACTTTATTTTGCTTCTCCAGTTAGTTAAATAAAGGAATCCAATTCCTAACCAAATTAATTTTAGTATTCAATCCATAGGTGCTTGCAGACTCTTTCACAGCCCTAGAAAGTTTCTATGCAACAGAACTAGTATCAGGCTATACAATTAATTTGGATTTACTATAATTTGCTTATCATTCAGGAATCATTACTACATGACTACTATAAGGGGATACATAGGAAAAAATAATTAGAAGGTATACATATCCAGTGAAGTTTTGTTGGTCTTCAAGAATAATTTGTTTGTTGCCAGAGACTGGCTTGCAAATGAAAATAATAATGGTGACAAGCCAGTTTCTTGTAAATGCCTGGTAGTGCCTATGTGACTTCCACGAAGACGGAAGAAACATAAATTCTGCCTGCAGTCCTGGCAGTAACAAAGTACAGTCCTTAGGATATAAGGTCAGAAGTGGATACCTGTAGCTAAAGGACAAGGTGTCTTGCAGAGTTTTAAAAAGAGTTGAAAGAAGAATAAAGAAAAATAAGAAAAAAAACCAGACTGAAAAATAACAATTGTAAATAAAGCAGGCTGACAATTATGCTAATGAAAATAGTAAAAAAACAAATAAACTGATGGGTTCAGCAGGAGCTACTCGTAGTCACATGGGATGTACAGGGATAGAGCTCCCACCAACAATTCTGTAAGCTTTGGAGGTTTACAAATGGGACTGCATAGATGCATAACCCACCTGTGTGAATTATAGAAACCATTCATTCATTCATTCATTCATTCATTCATTCATTCATTCAATCAATCAATCAATCAATTTAATGACTCTGGATGGCTTACATTAAAAAAGTAAGACCAGTTAAAAGAAGAAACAGATCATAATAGAAAGAGATGACAAAGAACGAAGTCTAAAGGCTCAAGCTACTTCTCTCTTGAGCCCTGTAGTGGAGAGAAGTACTTAACAGCAAATCACTTTAGAAATAGACTCTGAAAAGTTTCTTATGGCATGACATATCTGGGATGAATTTCAAAAAATGGGGGATCACAATCAACAAATTTAAGCCACCAAGTGCATGTGAATTTTTCTTTGGATCCTGGCCCATTCTTACCACATATCATTCAGCAACATTCCACAACTTGACACTACAAGGACCATAATGTCCAGAGGGGCTAGACAGGACCAGGTTGAGTAACATTTGCAGCGCAAACTGCATAATATATTAAAAGTTTTAACTTCTAAGTTTTGTTTAAAAAATTAGAAAAGACAATTTGACATACCCATTTTCTATCTTCATAGCAAATGGCAGAAAATACAAAATACAAATTACTTACATCTGTATTTATCTTCCAGATGTGCTTTACACAGTGAAATTACGCCAGTTTTAAAAGACAGGACCCGGATCCTTCCAGTTCGACCCCTATTGATATTAAATTGAAGAAAGGGGTAAATAAGCAATAATGTAGATGCAAATAATAATACTTTCATCTAAGCTTATTAAAATGTTAGAAATCTCCCAAAATAGAAGGCAAGTAATTTCTAACACTAGCATGAAACAAAATCAAAAAGATCAAAGGAGTAGTTTATAACTGTACAATAATGTAGGGTAATTATATCAGCACAGTTTTAGAATCATTTGTATGCTGAATCTTTTTGTAATATTTTCAGAATTATGTTTTCCTTTGTAAGTCATAAATCTACTCCATTTTCAACTCTGAACAATAGTTCTGCATACTGTATAGAATTAGACTGGTATGTATACCAGTTTATGAGAAGTAGCTTACTATGAAATGTAATTATGTAAACATAACATTTTTACAATTAAAATTGTAAAAAATTAACAAGCAACATTTTATTTAAAAACAGTATTTTCCAGTTTATCATGTTTTAATTCTAAGGTCATATAGAACTTCAAAATTAAATGTTGCAATTCATTTACTTAGTAGTTTTTAAGCTAGAGGTAAGTAGCTTTCAGCATCTCTTTGTGAATTTCAAAATAATCCCAGATTTTCTCCCATAAAAGTTGTTCAATTTTTTTTTTAATAGGAAGAACAATAGTTGATTACAATCAACTGCTACAGAAATCTACGGAGACCTACGTGTCATAAACATTCAAAAGCCAGTTGAGGCACATGTCTACACAGAGAGGGACGTTGACTAGGTTATTGTGCTCTTGTTCCAATTTATCATAAATGGTAGTTAAGCAGTTGATGATCTGAAGTATATCAATTGGTTGGTCATTCTGTTTGAGGTTGTGCTGGTCCAAGGCATCACATGCAGCAGACAGATTTAGAAGATCCACTGTAATGACCAAAAAAAAAAAAAAAATCGTAAGAAACAGCTCTGACAAAATAAGCACATAATCATTTAATCATATCTGCTGAACTCAGCAATAGCTGAAATACAAATATATTGAATTGAAGATACAGATTTTAAATTCATCTTTAGTGTTTTCCACCTATTAATGTATTTTTTCTATGCAAATGAGCTCAGATTTTGTAGCATACATACAGTTACTAGTTTAAAAGCTGTTTCTTATTCAGCAAAGATCTATTTATCAGCCACATTTCCTGGGATCATGAAAAGACACCACCTCTAACACAGAATTTATTAGTCAATTGGAAATACAGTAAATTACTTAAACAAGGAGTTTAAGGCTAAGTGTTCACAGCTCCTCTGAGAGGCTGAATCAATGATAATTAAGTGAATCTTTCAAGGATTGAGTAGCAGAATAACTGTGTAAGTGCGTTTAGCTAAAGAGAGATCACTGTCTTCTGTAAATGTTTTCCACTCAAAGAAGTAAAAGTTCCTCTAAGCGTTTTCTTCCAGTTTTACTTGAATATTGTATGGGACACCATTAATAAGCAGCAGCAGTGTGAAAATATGTTTTGATTTAGTAAACTGTTGAATAAATGGTAAAGCCACTGTATTTTTAAATTTGTATTTTGTACTTCCCATACACTGTATAAAAGTTCCTTTTTCTTAATAATTTGCTTAATAAAACATTTATTTTATTATTTAGCTTAACCAGCCACTTTTTTAAATATACAGAAAACACTAATGTGTACTATTTACATAGGCAGTGTGTAATAGCACTAAACTGAGAGGATTCAACTTAAGGTGTTTTTAAATCGTCCTTTACTAATGCCTCATGGACAGTGATATGTGGGATAAACTCAAAGGTTCTTCCCTTAACTTGCACCAAACTCTCTTCAGCTGCAGACATGAAAACAAAGTGGAAAAAGGTTAATTTAACTGATTTATTTGCACATACAGACCAATTCAAACTAATACTGGGGCCCTAGTGACAATGAATGCTATCAAAATAATTCCTTTATATGCATGGAACCAATGGACAATTTAAATTTATAATTTTTCAAAATTAAATGTAACATCTTGCTTTTTTTCTCTTTTTCACTTTGTATTTCAATATTTGATGTTTTCTATGTTCTTTGTTTTCAATATTTTAACAATAGACAAAAAGGAAAAAAGGAAAAAAAAGGAAAGCATGTACAATTGTAATTTCTATCACCATACTTTCACATGACTGATGATCAGATGCACAACACTTCAGAAAGTTCCAGTGTCATATATGGTTTATTGCATCTACACTACACTTGATCTTAGCCAAAAGGCCAAGAAGCAATGGTTTATTGCATCCATGAAAAAAAAAAATCCTTCAGCCTAGGAGTAGGCAATCTGTCTACTGTGAAGGCCCACAATCCTTGCAAAGTAATAGTGAGGCTACACTCCAAATAGTGGATGGGGCCAGATATAGGTGGGCTACTCCATTCATCTACAGGGATTTTTGGAGAATGTATGGTGGCAAAACTTTTGTATATTCCACTGATGATGCCAACAGAATGTTCTATTCATTGATTGGGATCGAAAAGGGAAATAAGATGGAGGATAGACAGAAATCCCAAACTTGGACCAAGCAGCTGCTACTTTTTTATAAATTAACCATAACTGACATCTTATATCAAATCAAAATATTTTCAACCAATATTAATGGCTGAAGAGCCCATTTAAAAACAAGCAAACTTTTTTGAAGCTAAAAAAGGAAAATGGCCAGATTATATATTTTCAGGAGAAACATATTAAAAAAAGATAATGTAAGCCTGTTGAATACAAATATCTCGATAAAAAATCTGCAGTCTTGGGCAGATGGGAAAGAAATGGAATAGTTATATATGTGAAAAATTTGGCATGGAATTTGGAAAAGCAAATCCACACTGAAGAAGGGAAATTTGTAATCTTACATTTTGAGGCTGAATTTGGGAAAACAAATGCTTCCATTTATGCCCCAGAAGATAACAAAATAAAGTTCTATGGAAGATATTTTCAATCACTTCTTAAAATGCAATTAAGAACTATTCTTGAAAATATTCAGAATACTCACAACAGAGAGCTTTCTGTAGCCTTCGGAGCTTCATGGCAGTTCTATATGCTGAGAATCTAACGTTGTTCAAATCAGCTATGAGATGATAAAAGAAAAAAAGGACATTATTTTATCACTAGGCAAGTTTATTCAGTGAACATAAAATAACTCCTAAAATATCTTTAAATATAAACTAAATGACCTCTCACTATATATATAAAATAAAGAAAACCAGCAGTTTTAAAAAATAGTGCCACTATGCTCTGAACAAACCACACAGTTCAGCCCAAGCAAAGTACTATCATAGTTATAATTCTATTCATGCTTACTGGGAATAAGTTCTATTACATTCAGTAGGGATTACTTCTAAGCAGACAGAATTTGTTTATTAAGTTTAATTGATTTTAAGGGCAGTATCTCCATAAAAAGAGAGTCACTTTGGTGCTGTGGCTAAAGGCACCAGGCTAGAAACCATGAAACCCTGAGTTCTAGTCCCACCTTAGGCACA